GGCACAGTGGTGGGTGAAGACGAAGAGGCCCAGGGCCGAGGCCGCCACCCCGTACAGGCAGCTGCACACCACCCGGGGCAGCCAGCGCTGGGACACGGCCAGAGCCCCGCAGGCCCACATGGCCAGGTACAGGAAATGCGTGGTCACCAGCGCGCCCAGCTGGACTCCCGGAGAATAGAGGCCGTCCCCGTCCTCTGGGGGTCCGGGCGTCACCACCCCTGCGCTCCCAGTGGCCAGAAGGGAACCCGAGTCACTCAGGAAAGGGCCGCTGCTCCTGAGCCTGGTGGAACCCCTCAGCTCCTCCCCTTGGTCCAGGGAGACCCTGCTCGTGACCCCCTTGGAGCTCTGTGCCAGAGGACCCCTCAGATGCAGCCCTGCGCACAGGAAATAGATCCAGGTGATCAGCAGGATCAAAGCCACCGGGATGTAGAAGGCTCCTAAGCTTGGACGCCACACCAGCCAGCAGCTGAGGGGAGACACGGGCAGTGGATGAGGAGAGAGCAAGTCTGAGGCGGGGTCCAGAGGCTGGGTGGGTGGGGACAGGATGCAGTGAGTTGACAGGCAGAGACTGGCTTAGTCAACATGCACGGGCTTGGGTGGGGTCACTGGCTGGGTGAGCCCGCAGGTGCCCCTGCCAGTGGACTAGAAGGCATCTGGTGCTGGGGTGGGTAGGTTTGGGGCAGGCAGGCAGTGTGCTCACTAGGGGCTGTGGTCCCGGTAGTTGTGGATGTTGACAGCAGCTGTGATGCCACAGATAATGAGTGGGATCCCTCCAGCGATCAAATAGAACCTGGAAAGGAATGGGTTGGGGGTCAGAGAGAGGAGGAGCAAGGGAGAGGAACCAGGTGCTCAGAACCCTTGACTCGGGGTCTCCATCCCATCTTCTTTCCCCTTTAAATTCTGTCAGGATTTTTTTTTGCCATGGATGCAAGGCGCTTACAAGGCAGGCTTGGTAGATCCCTAGGGGACTTGGCCAAGACTATTCTAAGGGACAGAGGCCAGACCTCTCTCTCACTCTAAGTGCAGAATTTGAGGGTTTCAGGGTCCCTGCTCAGTGCCCACTACATGACCTTCAGCAACCGGGCACCACCTAGAGCTTGCCTCTTCTGTCGTTGGGACAGTGGTCTCCCAGGACCTTGGACCCACCCTGCATCCCCCCGGGGAGAGTTGATTTGGTGTCCTACGCCCCCCTCAGAGCCCTTCCCCCCTGCAAAGCTGATATCGGGAAGCATGTACCGGAGCATGGGACGGGGAGCAGGCGGGGCAGAGTCCCCTTCCTGTGGAGGGGGCGCCCTCCAGGTGAGTTCCTTGTGGAGGACGCGGGCCTTCACCCCCATCCAGAGCAGGGTGGACAGTGAGGAGTAGTGCAGAGTGATGCCCACCTGCGGGATCAAGGTGCTGAGGCTGGGACTGCGACCACATCCAGGGAGGGGCTGCTTCCATTGGGGCCAGGCCAGAGCCTCAGCCCCACAGTGTGCTCCCACTCCTCCCATGTTCCCAGCCCCCAACTTCCCGCAGACCTTCCCCCAGGTCTGTCCCTGCTGTTACCCTCTCTACGTCCACCCCAGGCTTTCCCCCCACTCTGGTGACTCCATGACTTAGTTACTGCTATCTGCTTCGTCCCCGACCTCTCCTCCATCGCAGGTTCCTACTCTCCACTTTGAAGTCCCACCTCCTAATTTTCCTGCTTCTTACTTCTTACCTTCTACTCTCATGCTCCTCTCCCCTGACAAGTAAGACTGGGCACAGAGAGAACAATGGAGCTGGGGCCTATTAGCATGAGTCCCCTTTTTCCTCTCCTGCCCCTCCCTACAGCCCAGGGCTGCCATCACTAATCTTGGAGCTCCCCAACCCCCACCTCAGCCCCTTCTCCTCTTACCGCCTGGCAGACCATCTGGTAGTTGGTGAGTGTGATGCCTCCTGCAAAGACGGCGGAGGTCATGGCCATGTGGAAGCACAGGTTCAGCAGCATGTGCCAGCCCTTCCGGGACACATGGATGGAGCTGCCCCAGAGACAGTAATTAATGGGCCACCCAGCCCAAGGTCAGGCCCAGGGGGCCTCAAGGCCATGGGGAGGCCCACAGAGGGGGTGGCAGGTATCTGTGTGCATGCACATGTGGGAATGTGATAGAGGCTCCAGGGAAGGCAGGTCTTAACCCACAAAATGTGTTTTCCGAACCCCAGAACCTTCAAATGCAATGCTAGGCAAGAGCCTGGCAAAGTCATGTGGACCGACCTGGGAAAGGAACACTTGCCAGTACTTAGTGAGACACCCCCGCCCCCAAGCCTTCCCACCACACCCTCCTTTCCTGCAACAGCTCCCACCTGTGGTTGAGGATGTAGGTGATGATGGTGGAGAAGAGGCAGAGCAGCAGCAGGGCTGTGCAGGGGTACACGACTGGATGCAGCCCTGCCCCCGAGGCCCCCACCTCCCTGGGAAAGGCACTCAGCTCCTGGGAAGAGTAGGGAGAGGAAGTGTGTACTAGGAAGCCAGGTAAGGGCTGTCCCGTGGAGTCCTGACCAGGCCCCAGGCCAGTTTTCCTCTTCCCAAGCCCGGTCTGATCCTCAGCTTAGTCCATCTGCGTAGACAAAGGTGTAGGTACCATGATATTCACTTAGAAAGGTGGCCTTTGTAGCATTTAAATCTACTGCCTGCCTTTCTAGGAACTTTCCAGGTCCCCAGCCTGGAAACCGGAGATGCGGAGAGAGAGGAAAGTCTGTCTGTAATACAGCTGCATGCCTGCTCAGGGTGTGACATGTGGTGAGGAAGAGGGAACGAATGGGGGTGAATAAGGAGGGTGATCAGAAAGGACAAATGTTCCCAGATTTTTTCCCCACTTTAATAACCTGGACATCGGGGATTGCAGGCTGGGTCTTAGAAGACCAGGCTGGGTAGTGCCAGACCCGCTCTCTCATTCTGGGAGTGGAAGAAGGACCTCCCTGTCTCATGAAGATGAAAAGTGTGTGTGTGTAAGGACCTCCCTGTCTCATGAAGATGAAAAGTGTGTGTTGGGGGGGGGGAGACCAGAGGGACATTGCCCTGAGTCCTGACAGTTTTGAGGCCTGACAAGGCTGCTGTCCTTGATTTCTCTGTGGCCTTGGGTGATCAGAGAGCCCCAGCTCCACCTCACACACCTCCCTTGTCCCCTGGCCCTCACCCCCCAGTCCTACTCTCCTCACCATGAGCACGGCCACATTGCCCAGGTGCTGGCAGTGCAGGGAGCTGACGTTGGGCTGGCTGGAGCGGAGCTGGCAGCCTTCGGAGCTCCAGCCCCCAGCGCCGCCGGGCCCTTCCTGGCTCCACCAAGCAGCCACGGGTTCAGCCCCCTCAGCCCAGTGCCGCAGGGAAATGGCCACTGGCTCCGTCAGGTTTCCCACGCCACAGCCACCTACAGGGGGGAGGAAGTCCACACAAAAGGCCACGGAGTGGGGGTGGGGGTGGGGCTGGCTGGGTGGAACCAAGCAGCAGCTGAGCAGGCACAGAACCCCCTTGGGCTGGGTGTGCGCTGGGCTTGGTGGATAGTTAGATGCCAAATGTGGGCCTGCTCCCAGGTCCTCAGTCTCACTGGGGAGACACCAGGATGAATCAAAATGAAAGCAATGGGCCCTGGCCAGTGTGGTTCAGTGGTTGGGTGTTGTCCTGTACACCAAGAGGTGGCAGGTTTGATTCCCAGTCAGGGTACACACCCAGATTTCAAGTTCCAGCTCAGTTGGGGCACCTGCAGGGGGCACCCAATCAAGGTGTGTGTGTGTGTGTGTGTGTGTGTGTGTGTGTGTCTGCCCCTTCCTCTAAAATCAATAAAAAGCAACAACATATCCTTGGGTGAGGGTTAAAAACAAACAAATAAATAAATAAAAATAAAAGCACGGGGACGTGGCCCACTCTAAGTGCCAAAAGTGCGGTGGTGACATTCTCTAAAAGAGAGGAGTCCAGGGCTGGGGTCAGGAGGTCATGCCGAGGAGCGAAAGCCTAGGCAGAGGGGACTCTGGAGGGCCTCCCTGATTGGGAGAGTTGGCGCCAAGTTAGGAAGGTGGGACTGAGGGAGGTCTGGGTGGGTCAAGGGTTTGTACTTAGAGCCCTTTTGAAATTTGACACATCTGGGGTGTAAAATCCAGTGTCTTCCTGAACCTTTTTTCCACCAACCCCTTTGTTTACGGGATGTCTGTGTCCCCCTTCCTCCTTGGAAATGGTGAGGGGCCACCATTCTCTGCCACCTCCACCAGGATGTTAGGGGTGCTGGTAGGTGAGGAAGAGCAGGATGAAGGGGCACAGGACAGACACTTCGGAGGGATCCCATTGGGCACCTGGTACCCAGAGTTCATCCCCTTACTTGTTCCGGCGAAGATGACAGGGGTGGCCACGCCACGCCTCCTGCCGGGCCCCACAGCTCCAGGGCGGGAGGTGTTGCCATGGCTGCGGAAGAGGCGGCCATTTCGGAAGATGAGCAGTTGCAGGGTGCAGTCTGGGGAGACTGGGGGCGCCAGGGAGGCCGGAAGGGACGAGAAGAGACTGGGCGGCAGCTGGATGGAGGCCAGGGCAACGCTGTTCTGGGGGGGACACAGGAATTCCTCAGAGACACCAGATATCCTGGGACTCTGATGTCTTCCTACCCCTCCTTCTGCCTCCCCTACCCCCCTTTCTGGGTCCTGTCTCTTCTCAGATCATCTACCCTCACCAGGCACCCGCATCTGGGCACCTTCCCTCTTAGTGTCCTCCCTGCCCCAGCGCCCACCTTGATGTGGAAGGATGACAGCGAAACGTTGGGCCTCCCGGTGGTACAGCGGAAGCGGAGCTGCTGATCAGCCAGGGGCTCCAGCTCGGGAGAGGGGTTCTGGCCAAGGCCTGCGGGCCGGGCGCCGGGCACACCGGCCTCCCTCCTCTGGAAGGCCGTGCAGGTCAGGCCCACATAGCTGTGCGGCTTGATGAGGTAGGCCTCCAATGCCACGTTCCTCGAGTTCTAGGGACAGGGAACTTGTCACCCGACCCTCTGAGATACGGTTTGGCCTCTCTTGCCTGAGACTGCGCAGTCCCTGTCGGCTCAGGCCCTGTCCCTCTGCCTTTACTCCTCACTCTCTTCTCCAGGCCTGGCCAGTCTTATGTCGCCATGGATCCTCCCCAGTCCCTGGCATGGTGCCTTCTTCCTCCTAAGGCCCTTCCTCCCACGCATTCACACCCCACCTTGTATCTTGCTCCCCTCTTAACTCGGGCTTGTTCTGCCTCCCTAACTAAGCTGCAGAGCAGCCTGTTTGACCTCCTGCATCTCCCGAGGGACCAGCACAATATCTTGCAAGTGGTAGGTGCTCTGCCGTGGTCGCTAACTGGCTCACGACCCACCATCGGAAATGTCACCCTCGCCTCAGGGGACAGAAGGCTCCATTACTCTACACTCCATCACAGTGCTATCCCCCAGCAACTTGGTTCCCCACCATAACGCCGAGCGTAACTTCCCCGGTGTCACCGGCCTCCCTCTCTTTCACTGCCCCTGACTACTCAGGATCTGAGGCCACACGACTGGGAATCTAGTCAAGTTCGGTGCTCATGGCAGGTGCACAGTTGGAGGGCTTACTGCCTGAGAGAAGCCTTTCCCTTCGGGATGACTCTAAGTTCCCGCCCAGTGTCAGGCCCCCAGGAGCCCCCTCCTGGCTGACCCACATTACCACAGAGATGTGCTGGGCGTGGGGGTTCAAGACGGCCCCCCCAATGCGCTCCAGGGCACCCACGATGCCGCTGCAGGCCTTGTCCTCTCGCTGGGCCAGCCACAGCAGGTGCTCATCTACCAGCATCAGGTTGCTGGCCATGTCCACCATGTCCTCCACCAGCTGGGGGGGGGGGGGGGCACGGGGAC